GCTGTACTGGGACATGCGTTGCCCTCAAATTGTACAATCCAAAGAAATGGTGTCTCCTGTAGCTGTCCTTCTGGCTGTAGGAACGATCCCGCCGCTTGCCACCAATTGTAACGGACCGTTTTGCATAAAAGGGGAAAAAAACCACTTAGACGATAATCCCCCTTTTCAGAGACAGCCACAGCTACGGTATAATCACCAAAACTCACGAACCGCCAATAAGTGAATGCTCCAAACTCCCGAACGGCATACAAGGGAATAAGGTAGCACTTCAAATAAACGAACAGGAACCATACGAATAGCTGCTAGCAGGCGAACAGGAAAAGCTTCCAAGCGGCTTACACTCCTGGCAATCAGTCCTTAGCAGCATACAGTAAATCCCCCCAAAGACGAGACAAGGCTCCGTGTTGAGGGTCAAGCAGTGGTCTGTTTAATGAGGGCTACCTGCCCGGCTTTTATGCAGGTCTCCCACCTGGTGGACACTCCCCTAGGGGACCAGATGGAAGACTGTGACAAGGGACAGACAAGTATACAATTAGGACACACAGTCACAGTATATTCCCACAATGCATCCTGGCTTCCTCCCCTCTGCCCTGGGAGATAATTGGGAAGTAACTCAATTATCTCCCAAGACAAAGGCAAAACTCCATTACACACGTGGGAACACAAAACCAGCATAACACTTTAAAATGCACAAAGTAACATTTACTACATAAACCACAGACATGTAACATATCCCCAGATAGCTCAGGTCTGAGTGCACATTATTAGGTGAATGGCACTCAGACCACACGAATGCAGTTTAATCGCCATGGAGCCAAAGTCCTTACAGTCAGTTTCATACGAATGGGCTCCATGGGATTCCTATCTGGGGTATAAGACATTCACACAAAAATACCGAACACCGGGTCATTCGTGTGCTTTCACCGAACAAGAAGGGAGGTCGGCGGCTTCAGCGGTGTTCGCGCAAAACTGTGTCCGATTTTAGTTCCATGAAAATAGAGGCGAACACCGCTGTTCATTCGTATGGTTTAAAATGGCCGCGACCTCGTGTTCGGGATACGAACGGCGGCCACCCAGCGTTCATCAATTAAGCTGCGGTTAACCGCAGCTTCAGGGAGGTTAATTGCCGGCACACTCCAGCTCCCAGGTGGTCCAGTCATTCGTACGGTTGTTCGGTAGATTGAAACTACCGAACAACCGGCAGAAAAGCATGAATATGGCTTTTCTGCATGGAAAAATAAAGTCTTTTAAAAGGGGGCCATAGTCCAAAGGCAGCAGGCGAGCAACCAGGCTTCTCCAATGCAATGTGGCGAGATTGGTCTCGTCACATTATTTAATAAATGTAAGTAGAATAGAATCATCTTACACACAGCTTCACTCAAGACCAGAAAGCCAGACACCAATGACAGATAACACTTAGTAATTAATTTTACTTTCTAAATCTTACAAAGTCCCATTGTAAGCAAGGGGTGAAATTAAGGTTTAGACATGTCAGAAAGTAGATTTAAAGGTATATGCCCAATGCTCTGTCTGGGGTAAATCCTTTGAACTGGCAGCAAAATTGAGTTATAGTGGCCATTATAGATAAGCCAAAATGACGTCGAAATCATCATCAAATGAAGTTAACTCTTTCCAGGACAAGAAATTTTGGTGTTGTAATTGCGCCATCTACTGACCATAAACTAGATGATAGTCTGTAAACTAGACACACCTACAGTTCCCTATTGGCCTTATCAGCTAGTGACGTGCAGAGAGTTTGACCCTTTAAAAAGTAAGAACAAAGGGAAAAGAGGGAGATTCAAAGATTCACACATCCAGACCTCTGGGACTGACACTCAAATCGGACATTCAAAGCTTCATACTCTTTGACCACATTCATACTTATCTTTGAAACAACTTAAGAAACAATTCCCTGGACACCTAGTCTTTTCAAACCAACACCACTTTCTCTGTAAATACAAATACAGGAGTTTATAACATACATTTAATACAGTGACATGATGGTTAAATGATACAGTAATTAAATAGTGATTGCTGATTTAATGGTATGAGACACGTAGGGTCGTGAAATAACTGCTACAACAGTTCGTGGTTGGTTTCTTAAGAGTTAATATTCTGTTATCCATTACAGTGACAGCATCCGAACTAGAATTACAATAATACTTGGATGTGTTTTAGAAGGCGAATAACTCTGACAATGAATGAAAGAACGATAGAAAAGAGTAAAAGATTAAATAAATGAGTGGATTCTAAATATAGGAATATAAAATACAGCTCGTTTGTTGTATTTGTTAGGAATGATGAAATCCAGTGCATTTATATTGCAAAACTTTTTCTGTAAGTCGGAATAGAAGTGTTCTGGCAATGTATCTATGTTATTTGATACATTTTGGATGTACTTGATATAACAGATGTCGTAGGTGGTATTACATTTTGTAAAAAATGACGTTTATATTTGATACATAGTAGCACTGATCTCATTGGAAAAGTCTTATGGATACAAATGAATATACATACATAACATGGCAAAAAAAAGCAGTAGACTAATTCTCAGCTTTATTATATTATTTCGGGGAGCGGTGCCAAAGTATCAATTTTGATATAATAAAAACTTTTAAATAAATTTTTGATAATTTTTATGAAAATATAATTTTTTATATTTTCACCCAATAAATATCCCCAATATATATATATATATATATATATATATATATATATATAATTTTTAGCAGTTGGGGAACTGCCTAACAGACCAGGAAGCTCGTCAGCCTCCTATTGCAGCGATGTTATCATGGTAATTACATGGCCCTGGAGAGCCAGAAGGGTCATACGTGCTGCAGGGAGACTGCCTGGACTCTCAGGCAGTCCCCCTGATCAGGATTGCTGGTCCGGGTTAGTAAGGAGGTCTGCTGAGCATTAGGGCGTTCTATGCAGCCCTAACGGTGTTCAAAAACAGTTAATGCAGAGTGTCATGGAACGCCCTAACTGCGTTAAAGGATTAAGTAAGGTTAAAGAATAAGCACAAGATATAGCTCCATATAGGCATTGTGGATAAATTATGGACACCAAATTCATGCATATTTATTTTAATTTAATGTGCCATTGAATGTAATGCTCACTGAAATTTTTGAAACCTGAAAACTTCAAACAAAATTCACCGAACCGAAATTTGCAGGACCAAAATTCCTTGGACCGAAATTAGACAAAGCTAAATTCGCCAGGGTGATATTTGCATTCACATTGAAATGCGGCAATGCAAATAAGAATTTCATCCTGGTGAATTGTGTTTTGGCAAATTTTGCCCCAGCAAATTCTTAACAGCAAATTGTGTCCTGAATCTAATGCACCACTGAATATAATGCACATTCAAATTTTGGAAACTTTATTTTTTCAAAAAAGGTGTGCATTAGATTTGAGTACATACAGTATTTATTTTAGAATGGGAAAATACATAATAGGTGAAGAACTTCCTGTGCATTTCAGGTAAAGGGACCTTTACATATATAAGTTGGATAAAGTGCAGAAAAGCAGATTACAATTGTGTATAAAATAAAATTTAAATATTTCTACCTGTTATGTTAGATATTTCCCCCTCTGAACATGGGACACATTTATAGCAGCATTTGTGATAACTATCACCAAAGGCTTTTCTATATCCACGAGGACAAAAGTCATTGCACCAACCTTTTGGGATCTGGAGAAGAAAACATGATGCAGTTTACAGTGTTAAAATCTTTCTACTTCAGATGATTTTGGAGACGGGTGCCATCAGAAATCTCAGGGCCCCTTTAAAAGAATAAACTGAAACCCCCACCTGGATACATGCTCTTTGCCACACATACACAAATACACCCATACATTTTATTAAAGACACACAGGCTCCTATTAGGCATTCTCTTTCTTTATTATACTCCCAGCAGCAAGAAAAAAGAATTATGAGAGAATCATAGAAAAAAACATAACAACAGCCTGGTAACAGTGGCACCAATCAGCATCCAGTATTATCCATATGGGTGTGGTGCTCCTTGACTCCTCCTCTTTCTTGCTGCTCCCTCAGACAAGTACCTCATCTCTTGCTACTCCTGTGATTTTCATACATATATGTGTATTTTGTGACAGAATTTTTGGCTTAGTGTATGTTAAAACTCATTTCATGATCACTATTATTGCTGGTTTGTATCCTGCTGGTGTCTGTGAGTGCTACCTATTGGGGTCTCTGGGAGCCTGGTTTTCCTTCCTGCCCATACTTCTGAGTATTGTTTTTACTCTTATTTCCTTCCCTGCTCGTTCAGTTTCATCGGTGGTGCAGCAGGGGAGGGCTGACCTTAGCCGCTCACCGTTTATGTCCGCGGTCTATTCTGCGGTTTCGTGCGGTCTGCACATGCGCGATCGATAATTTTACTGTTTCCCCTTTTCCTAACTGGCGCACATGCGCAGTTCGTGCCACGGAGGCCATCTTTTTGATTTCCGTCGCTGCATGTGTATTTTCTACTCACCGTGGCCATTTTAAGTGCAATTTACAGCATGAAATTGCTGTGGATCGGTGCTTAAGGTGGATAATGGTCTCTCCTACCCTCCTGGCGCACTCCTAGACCCATACTAAGCATTATTGCTGTTACTACAGTTATTTGCTGTTATTTGCTGTCTATTGCTGGTCAAACTGTAAGTGTTGGTGTGGAGGATTACGCTATCTTGACACCCTTTTTGTTCTTAGGCTTAGTTAGTATTATTTTCCCTACAGGTCACTTCAGATACTGTTCTTCTTAACCATTCAGCTACTACTAGTAGCATTACTTTCTGGGCCCAGTAATTTTGACCCTGAGTGTATTTGGGTATATAATTCCCTGTGGGCTAATATTATTGCTAAAATGCAAGATCAGAATGAGAGACTTGCAGGGTCTGTGTGTCCCACACCAGGGGTTTCCCCCTCAGGCAGGGAATGTAAGGATGACGCCAGCCACATGGCATCGGAGGAATTTCAATCCCTTCTCGATTCTACCATGGCGCAATCCATCAACAAGGCTCTGGCCTCCACGATGGGGGTCATGTCATCCTCTATCACACAATCTATAACCAGAGCACTGATGCAGTCTCAGAGTAGTGGCCCTCAGAGCACACAAAACCTGGGAACCACTAATGTGGCACAACCAGGACGCAAAGCTTTGGCAAAAAGCAAACATATTGCCTCCCCTCCAGAACTGCAGGTTCAGCCTGCACTGACTGACACACCTCAGGCTGTCAATGATGGTGCGATACCACCGCGCAATAGAGCCCCTGGCCAGGCAAAATCGGCAGATCCTGGAAGCAGGCACGTGCCCACGAGGACTCGTCCAATTCGGACCGGAGTTTGGAGGAGGAGCATAATGATTTATATATGGATCATTATGGTGCGGAATATTCCGATTCTGGGTCTGAAGTGAAAGCAAACACTGCGACCCAGAAGGTTACGACTCAGGGCCCTGAGCCTGCCGAATCGAGCAACGTAAAATGTTTTTACGTACAGCTCAAGATCCTTAATGAAGGATTCACCAAAAAAGTAAGCCTTTAGCGGCTGGCCTTGGCTCATTGGTCGCAATGCTGACCAGTTTGGGCTCTATTTTCAGGAGAATCGCCTTGCGGCATTCGATTGCCACGGCCGTATTGGCGTTACCCACCATGCAGACTAACCTCTGCAACCAGCCTTTCGCTACTTCGAAATCGAAGTCACTCTCACCCGATTGGGCAGATTCCACTAACTCATATAACTTAGAGATGGGCCCCAAAGTGTCCAGGAACTTGTCCTGGCAGTTCCGAAGAGAAAAGTCTAAGCCTTTCCTCAGTTTTCAACCAGATTTATTTAAAAATTGGATTAGATAAAGGTTTCCATACTCTTAGCTCGAGGTATCTCGCGATGTGCGCAGGCGTGAAAATAGCGAATTTTGCGGCCAGCATGTATATCAGATGCCAGAACCCAAGAACGATCGGCTGGTCCATAACCTTTACAATCCACCAAGTACTGTAATGTGCCCCGAGAAAACCTGGAATCAATTATATACTCTTCCTGTCCAGAAACAACTAAGGGAGGAGGAGGGACACTTGCTTATTTATTGCAAACAAGAGGTTTGAGCAAGGACACATGAAAGGTATTAAGAATTTTCAAGGAGGCCGGAAGGGCCAGAGAGTACGCAACAGTATTGATCCTACGAAGGACGCAAAAAGGTCCAAGGAACCTAGGAGCAAATTTCATGCTAGGGACTTTGAGCCTGATGTTACGAGAAGATAACCAAACCCTCTCACCCACTTGGTAAACAGGTTTGGCACCTCGACGTCGATCAGCATAATGCTTGAAACGGTCAGCAGCAGTACCCAGAGCAGATTGAACTTTAACCCAGGTATCACGGATGGAAGCCAGACAGTAATCCTGAACAGGAATAGCCTTATCAGAAAACACAGCCGGTAGAACAGTAAGATGCTGGCCATTATTAACAAAAAATGGACTACGTCTCATGGTCAGCATTGTTCCTAGCAAACTCGGCCCATGGTAGTAATTCGGACCAATTGTCTTGAGTGCTATTAACGTAACAACGCAAATATAATTCCAAGGACTGGTTAGCCCTCTCAGCTGTACCATGGGTCTGGGGGTGGTAAGAGGATGAAAAAGACAATTCAATCCCTAATTGTTTATTGAAGGCCCTCCAAAACCGAGACAGTGTACTGAGAACCTCGGTCAGATACTATATTGTGAGGAATGCCATGCAGATGGACAATTTCTCATATAAAGATTAGTACCAGGTCTTGAAATGACGTCAATTTCTTGAGAGAAATAAAATGAGCCATTTTAGAAAAACGGTCCACAACCATGAGAATCGCTTCTAAGGTCAATTCTACAGTATAACCGTTAGAACTAGGAAGTTCAACAATGAAGTCCATGGACAAGTGGGACAATTGGACCTCAGGAATAGGAAGAGGTTGTAACAAGCCACAAGGGAGTTTATGAGGCACTTTAGAAACTGCACAAATAGAACAAGCCTGCACATATTCCTTAACATCTTTCCTGAGGGAATCCCACCAGAATGACCTCATGGTTGCAGAAGTGGATTTATTAATACCTGAGTGACCAGCAGACACATTGTCATGAAACACCTTCATGATATTAACCCTTTCCCCCAATGGAACGAACAGTTTGTCCTGAGGTTTACCACAGGGCACCTGAGACTGAGCCTCCATGATGGAGCCAAGCAGTGGAGAGGACAATGAAAGGACATTTCTTGCTCTAGTATAACTTCAGTATCAAACTGCCTGGACAAGGCGTCGGCCTTGACATTTTTAGAACCCAGTCTGTAGGTGATAAGAAAATTAAAGCGAGAAAGAAATAGAGACCACCTAGCTTGTCTAGAAGATAATCGCTTAGCATCTCCTATGTAAGCCAGGTTTTTGTGATCAGTAATGATCAAAAGGGGGTCCTTGGAACCCTCTAGAAGATGTTGCCAGAGCTAGAATAATGGCCAACAATCCTCTATTGCCAATATCGTAATTGCACTCAGCAGGAGACAACTTTCTAGAAAAGTAACCACAAGGATGTAATAGAGTTTCCTGGCTCTCCCTCTGGGAGAGAACTGCCCCTACCCCTGTCTCTGAAGCATCAAACTCCAGTATGAAAGGCTTACCGGTGTTAGGATGTATCAATATGTCGGTGGAGGCAAACCGCTGTTTGAGAGTTTCAAAGGCTTCAATTTTCTCCTTAGACCATGAAACGGCTACACAGGTAGTGAGAAGGTATCAGCCGTTGGAGACGTCCTTTTTTTCCGGAAAGTAGCTGTGTGGTAGTGGAGTTGCTTATTCCCATCCACGAGATCCAAGTGAAGAGTCAGGCAGCGCCATTAAAAGAGCAAAGTGGTTATGCTGTAAATCCCCTATCAAGAACGAGACAAGGCTACGTTTTGAAGGGTCAAGAAGAACTGAATTTTAATGGCAGGTACTCTCCTTTTATGTTATTCTGCCCATGCAAGGGAGACACCCACATAATTAACAAAATAACCAATAAAACATAAGGTACATCCCACACATCTCCTCCCCTCAGATAAGCTTGTAACCCAATTAACACAGTCACATTTTCCCCCAAGTTTCGGATGTACCCCAAATAGCCATATTCTGGGGGACCAACATATGTTAAAATCAGTTCATTCGGTTCAGTGGTTCATGAAATATGGGACTTTAAAGTTTTGACCGACCGCACAGGCAAAATAGCCGAAAATAGTTCCATGAGTTTTGGCCTTGCGGCCGGTCTTTGTTCATGTGTTAAAAGTCCTGAAAAGGCTTGCCATCCGTGTATAACTTGACATTTGCCAGAATCTCCATATGCTACTTAGTCTTTCTACCGAACGGTAGAACTAAAATCGGACACTCGAGTATGCAAACACCTGGTACTATGGAGGTCTCAGCGGTGTTTGCATACTCTAGTGTCTGATTTTAGTTCCAGACACTCGACAGCAAAACACTGCTGTTGGGAGTAAAGAAGACCGCGACCACGTGTAAAAGTCCCGAAATGGCGGCCACCCAGGAACTGAAACAAAGCATTTGTGTGTTTCCCATAATAGCTGAATGTGCTGATCAGGGAGGTAAATTACCACATAATTAGGTAGCAGGGAGGGTCCGATGTTCGGTGGTTTGCATTCGTACGGTGAATGCTTGGTCCATACCATCTGGGTCGCACAAGGAAGCGAACGCTTTAAAAGTCTCGAACTGTTTTAAAGAATAATCCCTGAAACAGGTAAGCACATTCAATTATATCCAGTTTGATGTCTTTTGCTGGATAAACAATCTGTCTTTAGAATCCAAGGTCTCTGTTCCTGTATATGTGCCCGGCTAGCTCTTAAAGGGCCGGTAGCAGTAAATATTCCCAGGCATAAGGTAGAGTTTTGTTACAGACCATATCGTACTACGAGACTCCTTGCATGTCATATTGGTGATTGGGGCTATTACTGAAGAAAATCCCTTTATAAATCTTCTGTAATAATTGGTGAAACCAATGAACCTTTGAATGGCTTTCAACCCAGTGGGTAAAGGCTACTGTAGAACAGACTCTAGTTTTTTAGGATCCATCTGAAATACCGAGGCAGAAATATTATATACTAAAAAATGGTCAAAGATACATTTTTCCAATTTACAATAAAGTTGTTTTTTTTAACAAGGTTTGCAGAACTTGTTTAACGTGATCGTGGTGAGACTGGAGGTCAGGAGAATAAATAAGGATATCATCCAGATAGACCAAGACAAACTAGTAAATGTAATCCCTGAGTACATCGTTAATGAAATCTTGGAAAACCGCTGGAGCATTGCACAAGCCGAATGGCATCACTAGATATTCATAGTGTCCACTTCTGGTATTAAATGCAGTCTTCCACTCCTGGTTTTCCTTGATTCTCACTAAATTGTAAGCGCTTCTAAGGTAAGGCTTAGTAAACACTTTAGCGCCCTGGAGTCTGTCAAATAATTCAGCAATAAGAGGAATGGGGTAGGCGTTTTTAATGGTGATTTTGTTCAATGCCCTGTAATCGATACATGGGCGCAACTCACCATCCTTTTTAGATACAAAAAAGAATCCTGCCCCAGCAGGCGAGGATGATTTTCATATATGGCATTTATTCAATGAATCTTTAATATATTCCTCCATTACACTACTCTCTTGAGGTGACAGAGCATAGACTGCTCCCTTAGGTGGCATAGCACCTGGTAGTAAATTAATGGAAGAGTCATATGGTCTGTGAGGAGGTAGAGTATTAGACTGAGTCTTGCTGAATACTTCTTTAATGTCTTGGTATTGTATAGGGATCTCGGGATTTTGAGGTGTACTAGTGGGTAATTCAATAGTGCCCACTCTTTTGGTGACATGCAACAAGCACCTTTCATTACAATCCTTACCCCATTCTAATATTTCCCCATTAGCCCAGTCAATATGAGGGTTATGCTTGCTAAGACATGGGAATCCTAATATAATAGGACAAGAAGGAGATGCAATTACCTGAAATGTAATTTCTTCCTTACGTAATGCACCAATGGAAATATTAATGGGTAAGGTTTCATGCGTTACCAATGGTTGTGAGAGTGGCCCCCCATCAATAGCTTCAACAGCTAGGGGTGATAGTCTCTCTTTGATAGGTATAGTATCACCTTTGACAAATTGAATGTCGATGAAGTTTCCAGCAGCACCTGAATCCATCAGGGCTTTGCATGAAAAGTTATTTTTGTCAAAGGCGATTGAAATGTCAAGGAGAAACCTATTTTTATTCTTTTCAGAGGACGTTTCCATTACACCTAAGACCTGTCCCCTTAAGGTGCTTAGGTGCGGTATTTTTCCAGACGTATGGGACAATTGTTTCTCATATGTCCCTTCCTACCGCAGTAGGAAGGCCTTCTTTTCTCCTATATTGTCTTTCTGCTT